TGGAGACAATCTCATGACTTTCCTCCTGTGCTGGCTATGAACACTGATCCTCAGATATCAGCCTCCTGAATTGCTATCATTACAGGTGTGAGCCACTAGTGCACAGCTTAGATAGGCAATTGTTATTATTGATTCTATAAACCTTGCTCTTGTCATTAATTTAAAAGTTTATCTTTATTATGGTCTATATGACCATGTATATATTGCGGGGGCTGGGGGGGGGAGTGGAGGAGAGAAGAGAAAGAGGGAGAAGTGGAGGAACCTATATGACTAGGTCAGATAATGCCACAAGCAGTCAGTTCTGCTGGTGCAACATAAAAGCTGCCATAGACAAAATGTAGACTAATAAGCATTGATATGCTCCCAGGGACAATAAAGTCTGAATTTTCCAAAACAAATACAGAGCACAAATAGGTTAAATACTAATTAAGGGCATATAGTGAAATGCTTTCTTTCCTACCCTCAAAGACTCTTGTCTTCTAGTGTTTGTGTATCCTTCCAAAATCTATGGTCAGTATTCATCATCTTCGCATGAGGGGATTTAATACTTGGAATGTCACCCACAGGATAAATCCTGGTTAAATTCCTTCAAATCTCCACTTGATTCCTGTAACTGGAAGGTATCTACAGCTTATCCCTTGTGCAGAATAAACTTTTAACACCCCTTTTTATATACTCCCCACCTTTCAGTACCTCATATGTAACAGGTCCCACAAATGTCCATGTATTCAAGACTATACAACTGTGAGATGGAGCAGCCTTTCTTAGGTGGGGCCCAATGGCCAGACGTTAGGTTCTACTAAGATAGCAGCCTCTTCTGTCACATGCTTCTACCACTGATATACTTTCTGGGCAGTTCAAAGTAATAGGAGGAAGTGGGCAGGTTGTATAAACCTTTCTTTTTTCTTTTTTTTAAGTGCCATTCCTAGAGCTTGAACTCAGGGCCTGGGTGCTGTCCATGAGCTTTAGTAGTCAAGGCTAGCACTCTACCACTTGAGCCACACCTCTATGTCTGGCTCTTTCACAGTTAATTGGAGATAAGAGTCTGTGCCAGCTTCGAACCAAGATCCTCAGATCTCAGCCTCCTGAGTAGCTAGGATTACAGGTGTGAGTCACTGGTGCTTGATCTCTTAAGTTGGTGATTTTAGGTGTCACAGTGATAGAAAGCTGACTAACACACAACATTAAATTCTTGCTTCAGATTATTAAAAACTTGAAAAAAATCTACGTACCCTGGGTATAAATCCTTCATATTGCATTAACTTTTTTTTTTTAATTTTGTTTTTGGGTCTAGTCATGGGGCCTGAACTCTGGGCCTGGGCGCTGGTCCCTCAGCTCTTCAGCTCAAGGCTAGCACTCTACCACTTGAGCCACAGCTCCACTTCCGACTTTTTTCCTTTTTTTTATGTGGTGCTGAGGAATCAAATCCAGGGCCTCATGCATGCAAGGCAAGTGCCCTACCAGTGAGCCACCTTCCCAGCTCCTGCATTAACTTTTTTAAACTTATAGTTACCCATGACTTGGAGCTGAAAACTAATTTGGACTGCTCTCTTTGAATTCTTCTCTATTTTTCTCAAGTTTTCATTTGGATTCTAGTACATCTTGTGATATTTATAGTGAATCTGAATGAAAAATGCCTTTGGTTAGGGATAAGATTCTAAGTTTCAAAATAAGCCCCTTGCGTACTTTTATTTTTATTTACTAGTGTGTGTGTACACGCGTGTGCACGTGCCAGTCAGTACTAGGGCTTGAATTCAGAGCCTGGGTGCCGTTTCTAAGTTTTTTCACTCAAGACTAGCTAACACTCTACCACCGGAACCTCAGCTCCACTTCTAACTTTTTTTTTGGTTAATTGGAGGTAAGCGTCTCACAGACTTTCATGCCCAGGTTAGCTTTGTACTGTGATCCTAAGATCTCAGCTTCTTGAGCAGCTGAGATTATGAGTGTAAACCACAGGCACCTGGCTTCTAACAACATACGTATATATTCATATTTGTATGCGTATATATTCATGTATACATATGTATATGTATAAATATATTAAATATTCTCCATGTATATATTTCACTCATAGATTCATTGAATGCCTCTCAGAGAACTATTTGCATTTCTTTAATACAAATCTTGCATCTAGTATAAATTAGACTGAAGCAGAGTAAGGAACAGGAGTGGATAGCACAGCTAATATGTTTCCACTAGCACTGAAAATGTTACTTTCAGATCACCCCCTTGCACAGATGAAACAACACAGACCAAAGAGAACCAATTCATCTGTATTTGCTAGTCATTTGTCCTCAGATGTATCTGTATGGCTTAGATTGTCTCAGTCTACCTGGATACTCCTGTCCTCCGGATCTGTAATCTGTGGTTATTTTTTTGTTGTTGTTGGTCATGGGGGCCTGAACTCTGGGCCTGGGCGTTGTCCCTCAGCTCTTCAGCTCAAGGTTAGCGCTCTACTACTTGAGCCACAGTGCCACTTCCAGCTTTTTTTCTGTTTATGTGGTGCTGAGGAATCGAACCCAGGGCTTCATACATGTGAAGCAAGCACTCTACCACTGAGCCAACTTACCAGCCCCTCTGTGGTTATTTTTTTCTCTTTTACCTCACTCGTAAAACTCCCATTGGAGGTACACTGGTTCTTCCAAATCTAGTTTCCATGACATGGTTATTCTATTTTCTGCATTTCAGTATTCAAAAACTGATTTTCCCACCATGGCAGCCAATCTGAGAGTACTAATGGTTAAAGTTTTCCTTTCTTTCTAACATTAACTCCCTTGCTTCTTGATTTGTTTAGTCTTGGGAGTCTCTAAAATGCTCCTAATTTCCCACAGATATTTAGTGGTTTTGGGTCTCTGTTCATATTATAGATGTATTAATATTTCCATACATGTGGCAATCATTATCTTGCTGTAAATCTATATCTGAAACTAACACTGTAATTCAATTTTATGTTGATAATCTAGGGCCTGTGTGGCATGACAATATGTATGTAGATTCACTGTCTAGCAATCTTGAGTCTTCCACCAACTAAAAAAAATTTTTTTAGTGTTTATTTTTCCCTAACAACCGCTAACTTGAGTAACAAGTTCTTATGTGTTACACACCAAACTTCAGAACCAGATCATAACTGGCTTTTGGGGGGTGGGATGGGGAGAAGGGGGTGTCGGTCGAGGGCCTTGAACTCCGGGCCTGGGTGCTGTCCCTGAGCTCTTCAGCTCAAGGCTAGCACTCTACCACTTGAGCAAAAGCACCACTTCGAGATTTCTGGTGGTTAACTGGAGATAAGAGTCTCAGGTACATCCCTGCCCAGACTGGTTTTGAACCACCATCCTTAGCTATCAACATCCTGAGTAGTTAGGATTACAGGCCCTAGCCACTGGGACCCAGCATAACTAAACCTTTGTGTGGGGGAGTACCTAAGGTACACTAGGTACACAGGAGGCTGACATCTGAAGATTGTGGTTCAAAGCCAGCCTGGCCAGGAAAGTTTGAGAAACTCTTGTCTCCAAGAAGTTACCAAAAAAGCCTGAAATGGAGCTGTGGCTCAAGTGGTAGAGCATCAGCCTTGAGTGGAAAAGCAAAGGGACAAGTACCCAGGCCCTGAGCTCAATCAAGCCGCAGTACCACTACCAACAACACCAAAAGTAATTTCCAAACTCTAGAACAAAAATTGTGTATATTCTCTTGGCCATACATATTGGAAATTCAACATCGTTTTTTGTCAGTTTTACTTACATAATTTGATTTTTCATTTACAATATTTACTATTTTCTTATGTTTAAAAAATATCTTTAAGTAGTTGAACAAAGGGGGTTCAGCATGTCAGTTTATGAGTACAATGCATCTTGATCCACGTCACCCCCTTCATATAATTTTAAATACCTAGTAGCAGGCACAGGTGGCTCATACCTATTATCCTAGCTACTCAGGGGACTGAGAAATGAGGACTGTGGTTTAAAGCCAGCCTGAGCAGGAAAGTCCATGAAACTCTTACCCCTAATTAACCAGCAAAAAGCCAAAAGTGATGCTGTCGCTTAAGTGGTTGATCACCAGCTTAGATTAAAACAGCTAAAGGACAACACCCAGGACCTGATTTCAAGTCCCAGTACCAGCAAACCCACCCATGCACACATACAAGACTAGTTCTAGTAGCAAAGAAGCTCCAAGAGCCTGCAATGACAGTGACCAATCACGGAAATGCAGACCCAGTTCCAAAGCAGGCTAGAAAATAAACACCTTCAGGTTTAACAGGAAAAGCTTCGACTGATCTGCGAGCTGCCATTCCATCGATATCATCATTCCCAACAGAAATATCACCGCTGTGTTTCAGAAACTACCCCCCAGCACTTGTATCAGGAACAATGTTCAAGATCAATTCTCTGACAACAACGTCAGAAGTTCCCATGGAGGGGGGGGGACGGGGTGGAGGGACCTAAACCCCAATCATTCCTACGCCAACGTGCGTCTTCGAAAGGCTTCGATCAGGGAACATACCTTTAGACCCACAAAATGAAATTCGAGAGAACCAGAAAAGTTTAGCCACTGAGCGCAGACACGGTGGCTAATCGCTTAGGGGGAAAAAAATCCAGAGAGGGGGGCGTAAGTGGTCTGGTAATCCCAGCGACTTGGGAGGCTGAGACCTGAGGATCCTGGCTGGAGGTCAGCCCAGCTAAGAAGGGCCTTGACACTCTCTGTCTCCAACTAACCAGCAAAAAGGGGGACGTGGAGCTGCGGTGGCTCAGGTGGTAGAGCGCCAGGTGTGACAGCGCCCGGGTTCCAAGTTCAAGTACCAGTACTGGCGCGCGCACACACACACACACATTTTTAAGCCAACTAACGGTCCACAGCTGCACGGGTCTCAGAAGAAACCGCAGCTTCTCGGTGGATCCGGACCGGCCGCCGGAGGGTTTGGTCCCCGTCCCGGGGGCTCCCGCAGGTGCGACCGAGGTGACCCGCCCCGGCCCGGCGCCCGCGGCCCGTCAGCCCGGGCAGACACTCACCGCGCTAGCCCGCTCCTCCGAGCGCGGCCGCCGCCTCCTCCTCCGCGCAACGGGCACACCGGGGCGGCGCCCTGAGGCACCCCGCCTCGTCGCTCTCCCTCCGGGAGCGCCGCCGCCGCCGCCTTCGAGCAGAGAACAGCCACTTCCGGCGCGCGCGAGGAAATGAGGGCGCCGCCACCCAGGCGGGTCCGCCCACTGCCGGAAGGGCCCGCCCACTCCCCCACGCGCCCCGCCCACTGCCGGAAAGACCGCTCGCTCCCCACGCGCCCCGCCCACTCCCCCCACGCTCCCCTCCTAGTATCGGAAGGTCAGCTCACTCTCCCACGCGCCCCACTCACGGCTGGAAAAACCGCTGAGTCTCTCACGTGCCTGTCCAGTCTCCCACGTGCCTCCCCACGCGCCACGTCGCTGTCAGTACAGTCTGCCCAGTCTCCCACGCGCCCCACCCATTGCTAGGAGGTCCCGCCTACTGCCAACAGGCCCCGCCCACTCCAAGCCCCGCCTCTGAAAGGCCCCGCCCAGCATCTGCAGGCCCCACCCCCTCAGCCTCTCCCCTTGCTTAGAAAGCCCAACCATCTGGCACTCTAGTATTGACTAATAAAAAAAAAAAAAAGAAGCGAGTGTGGCCTCCAAAAAATCGACTTGTGGAAACTGGTAGTATGGAGGCAGGAAAGGTAGTGTGGGCGGAACGTGCAGTAATTAGACCCAGGTAGCAGGCTGGCTTTTCAGATAAGCTTCTGCCAGAGCTCTTACTTTAGCATTGTTCTACAGGGGGCCCTAAGAGAGCCAGGTGTGTCAGGAAGAGCTCTGTTAGGGACCCTCAGTCTCCAGAGACACATGGGCATCCTGCCTAAGGAGACTCCTGGCAGAGCGCCTTGGCTGCCAGTGACCTTGGGGCTAATTCCATTTCATTGGACTCGTTTCCTCACGTTTAATTAAGGAGCACAGTGAATCTTATGGAAAATGATGTTAAGAGTCTTACATTGTATGATTTGGGTGTATGTGTTTGTAGGTTGTACATGTGTGCTGGTGGGCCTTCGCCTCACAGCCTGGATGCTGTCCTTTAGCTTTTTCAGTAAAGGCTGGCCCTCCACCACTAAAGCCACAGCTTCACTTCCCACTTTTTGAGGATTAATTGGAGATAAGACTCCAGTGTAGGAGCTGGGAAGGTGGCTCAGTGGTAGAGCGCTTGCCTTGCGTGCATAAGGCCCTACGTTCGATTCCTCAGCACCACATAAGACAAAAAAAAAGCCGGAAGTGGCGCTGTGGCTCAAGTTGTAGAGTGCCAGTCTTGAGCTGAAGAGCTGAGGGATGGCACCCAGGCCCAGAGTTCAGGCCCCATGACTGGAGCCCTCACCCCCCCCCAAAAAAAAAAAACTCCAGTGGACTTCCTGCCTGGGCTGGATTTAAACTACAATCCTCAGATCCCAGCCTCCTGAGTTCTAGGATTACAGGTGGAAGCTTCAGTGCCTAGTTTTAGTGTCGTTCTTACATTTAAATTTTCCTTCTAATAGCATTTTCTTTCTGGAAACTGATGTTTCCCCAAGCCCCCAGTCTGCCTCTTTACCCTCAGGCTCTGAAGTAGATGGTAGCTTCAGCCTTCCTAGCCTGTGGCCCCCATCTTTTGGCTAATTCTTAAGTTTGTTAAAACCCTCAGGAGAAGTACCTATGGAGTGGGTTTCTTTAACAATACACTGCCATCAGCACGTGGCCCTTTGGCCTCTGGATAGAAGTCGTCACCTCAGGTAGGGTACACCTGCACTGGATTGAGATCTTCCCAACCCTCAGAGACCTCTTCCTCCCGGAAGGAGATGCAAAAAAGATCAGAGTACATTTAAGAAACAAGAATAGCCAGAAAGAGACACACTGTTGCCCTGGTAGCATTTACACCACTGGGAGAGAAAATATCAAACACAAATCTTCTTATTTTAGTCTTGAGGTTGACAGTTTTCATGATAAATATTGTGTGTGCAATATCAATGTTGATTCCATCAAAAAATTAAACATGATTATTTCTAGTGGTTGAGTGCATTTAACCTTCCCTTTCTTGCCTACACTTACATTTAACTTGAATTCGACAGGATCACATAAAAGGGTATGGGTTTACAGTCTCCCCCGGTGTGGCAGGTGACACCACAGTGGCTAGGTGGTCTCTGGCCTTGGGCTTCCTCCACGCTGCCTGCCTCAAACCTCCGAGATGCTAACATCTCCATAGCCACCAAAACAAAGTGTACCCCTATCCAAAGACGTACCCCATCCAAACTCTTCTGTCTGGACTGCCGCTGTATGATCTTAGTTGGTCTGATACCATCAAGGGTTGGGCTTGTTTTCTCTGCTGCTTCAAGAATTAAAAAGCCTCGACAGTGTTTAAAGCAGACAGAGCAAGTTTATTTGTGAGTGAAAGAAAAGCAACAAAAGTAGACTTGTAGATTCGTTTTCAATGATAGGAGTCCATAATCCCTGTGTCTGGAATGGTCATCCTTACCCACCCCCAGGGGAGTATTTGGGGCTTAATTAGTTGGTGATGACCATAGACCACATGCTGGGGGCACTCTCTGGCGGAAAGCCAGAGCCCATGCAAGGCGCATGAGCCACGGGCATGTATGTTGTCCCATGGGAACACCAGGAAAGACCTACTAGGATGTTCTGCTTCCTATTGGGTTGGCATTAGTCCTAGCTGCCTGCTTTAATCCCTAACAAAGTGGTCAGGGCAACTCAATTTCCCTCCAGCCAAATCCCATGACTTCATATATTTGTCTCACTTCTGAATAAACATCTTTAATGTTGAAAATGAGCAATATAATTTGTGGGTGGCGATGGGAAGGAAAAACTGGGAGAGAGTGAGGAAAGGGGCAATATTGCCCAAGAATAAATGTATGCATTACCTGACTTAAGGACTGTAGCCCAACTATACATCACCCTTATAATAGCAATTAAAGGGGCTGGGAAGGTGGCTCAGGGGTAGAGCGCTTGCCTTGCATGCATGAGGCCCTGGGTTCGATTCCTCAGCACCACATAAGCAGAAAAAAAAAAGCCAGAAGTGGAGCTGTAGCTCAAGTGGTAGAGTGCTAGCCTTGAGCTGAAGAGCTGAGGGATAGGGATAGTGCCCAGGCCCAGAGTTCAGGTCACAGGACCAGACCCCCCCTCCAAAAAAAATAATAGCAATTAAAAAATAAAAGCTGGGCACCAGTGGCTCATACCTATAATCCTAGCTACTCAGGATGCTGAGATCTGAGGATCACAGTTCAAAGCCAGCCTGGGCAGGAAAGTCCATGAGACTCTAGCTCCAATAAACCACTCAGAAAACCAGAAGCGGCACAGTGGCTCAAGTGGTAGTGCTAGCCTTGTGCTGAAGAGCTCAGGGACAATGCCCTAGCCCAGAGTTCAAGCCCAACGACCGACAAAAAATAAAATAAAATAAAAAATAAAAATATCCAAGACTGTCATCTCCATAACTGCAAAAAGCCTCAAGTGGAAGTGTGGCCCAAATGGTAGCATGCCAGCCATTATCAAAAAAAACCAAGCTTATGAGCCTTTGAGTTCAAGCTCTGATACTGGCACACACACACACACACACACACACACACACACATCAACAGAAATTGTTATAAAATGAGGAATTCCTAAATGTAAGAATTGATGCTACTTTATTCTAGGGAAAGTGACCTGAACAAAAAGTATTCTTCACAATTACTATCAGTGTGCTTAGTCATTTGCATTTTGTGTAAGTCAGTGCATGAGCCCCCATGCTTGGTTACTGTCAGTCCCTTCCAGTCCCCACAGTGAGAAGATTCCCTTGTGACATGTGGATTCGTGTATGGAAACTTCAAACAAGAGAAGTACTATTTCCCATTAGGACACTGGAAAGAGAAAAGCAATGTACACATTTTATGATACACGATTTTATTTACACAACTGAAATGAGTTCCTTAGTCACCTTGATTACAAAAGCAAATTAACACAATTATATGGGTAAATAACCTTTCTTAAATGACTTAAAAAAACAAATCTCAATAGCTGATACATTAGCACTTAATACCCAATCATACTTAGTAATTTCTGCTATATGTGGATGAAAATTCTTTCTGCTAAAACTCTTAAGTATAGTTCTTATACTTATTAGCACAGTTTAGACAGACAAGTGGGTCCATAGGCAAATGTTCATGCCCAAATATGAAGTCAGTCATTTCCACCCAGAGCTTAACTCTCATCTCCTAGGAAAACAAATGTGCTATAGCAATTCACACTTAACTGTGTAGGCTTAGTTAATAATACGAGTTTATTCTTCCTTTTGCATGTAATAAGTCTCTCACATCAGAAAATCAAAAGTTTACCATGATATCTGAAAAAGATTTAATCACTGTGTTTGTGAAGCCACATGACATATCCTTGCAGGGTATTCATGGACACACACTATGATAAGGTTTAATCACTGCTTCAAGCCACCTTGGCCAGTCAAGACCCCATAATGTCATTACTTTGGTAAAATGATTATGAAATATGATATTTTATTGAGACTAAAAGTCCCACCACCATGGTGAAAGTCTGGAGACCTGGCAGTGTTCTGGTGCTGTGATTCTTTTCTATAAATTGACATTTCTGGGATAGCCAAATGAGTTATTAGGTCTTCCAACAAGTTACCCCCAAGGGCCTGGAGGAGCCCTGTGTGTCTGTGGCCACATTCCAGTGACAGAAAACTCTAAGAACCTTATGTATGGATTGGAGTCAGACTTGAAGAAACCAAAAAGTCTTCCTTTAGCAGCAATGAATGACAAAATACAGGAAAAGCTTATCCATGACCTCCCACATGAGCCCTGAGAACTGAAATATACGTTTTCCATATACTGTTTGTTTTGTTGACAATACCAGGACTTGAACTCAGGACCTGGACATTCTCCCTTAGCATTTTCTCTCTAGGCTGGTGCTCTACCACTTAAGCTACATTTCTACCATCTTTTTTTTTTCCTGGCTAATTGAAACTAAGTAGCTAATAGAATTGTTTGCCTGGACGGACTTCAAATTGCTACCCTCAGATCTCAGCCTCCTAAATAGCTGGGATTACAGGAGTAAGTTGAGATGCTTAGCTTCCACATCATACTTACACTGAAAGGTGTTAC